TACTAAGCTTCATGCTCCTGCATCCGCAGGTTACAGGGCAATGCCCCAGCACCGGCCAGCGTCGTTCTGGCATCGAACACTCCGCAGGTCACTGAGCGCATCAGTACTGACTCATCTCAGCCAGGTTATTAGAAGTCTTTGCCTGGAGCCCACGAAACTGGCGGGGGATAGTAGCGGTGGGTGCACGATGCCGGTTTCCAGACGTCCCCACTGTCGGGGGGAAAGCTCGGGGGCCGACCGGCGAGGGGGCGCAGCGGTACCGGGAGCGCTGCGCCCCGTTGAACCAACGAAAAACCGATGCGCGTGGAGCTAGCGTGCCGGGAGTACGGTGTGTGGTAACGAAGAGACGCCGCGCGCAGAGCCATGGAGTACTGTGGATTGGAGAGCATGCCGTGGGAGGAATCGCGACTTCTCTGTTTAGCCGATTGATGACGGGCGGGTCGTCCGGGTGGCGGATGGTAGTCTCTCCGAGTGTTGAGCGCGTTGTGGGAGGGATCGTGACATCGCTGCGCCAAATTAATGAAGAATTGAAGCGTGTGGATCTCGTCAATTATCGGGAGCACTGTACTTGCAGCGAGGATTGATGCACGCGGGGTTATGGAGCGCAGTTGTTTGGAGGTGTGGGAGGGATTATGACGGGAGGAGGGGCTCTTTTGCTTTCGGGTGCATTGACGGCTCGATGGTGGCGATGAATCCTTTTCGCAGTCAGCTCTGATAGGCACCGGGTACTCTTCAAGTGATGGTGCAATGTCGTGACTTCCTGGGGCACTGTCTTGTACGATGCTGTTTGCGATGTGACGCGGTGGGCGAAATCCTCCCTTCTTCCTCGACCGGGGGGTAGTGTATGGTAAGTGCATAGCTATGGTGGGTTTGAACCCCCTGTGGCGACTTGTCAACGGGCTTGGCAAGGGGGTGCCACACCGTTTTCAATCCTTTGTAGGAATCGAAGATGGCCGTTTCTGCCTTTGGAGTTAGTGTTTGCTTTGAGCCGAGGAACTAACAGTGGGAGGAAGGGTTCCTTTCCTTCCCCACAGGCACAGGGGTAGGGTTTGAAGGGTGGGAGATGAGTGAAGGTAAGTGGTGGTTTCGACGAAGAAGGGGAGGATTGGTTGCTTTGAATATTAATTAGCTGCGTCCTATAAATGGAAATCTGCTACTAATTCCATAATTGATCTTCACTTGGATGATTTTCCATCGATAATAACTAGGGAGTTCATCTCTTGATTTTGTTTGGTGCGATCCTGATTCTAGTCGCCTGATGTTTAGCTGGCTTTTGCTGACCACCTTTTGCGGGTATTTTTTAATATCCCTTGATACTGCTTGAAGTGACTTTTCGTGAACTTCTGTCTATTCCTATCATGAGCTCGGTTTTTGCCATATCCTTTGATGCCGTTTGAAGTGATTTTTCGTGAACTTCTGTTCATTCCTATTCGTGAGTACGATTCTTATGTAGTCGCCACCTTTTAAAATAACCCTTACTATGATCAGAATTGCTTTCCTGTTTTTGAGAGTCGTGAGTCCAATATTGGACATCCAAGATAATTTTCTTAATTTTGTTTCTTAAATTTTGTTCCGAATCTTAAACTCTCAAAGATGTTCTAGCCAGTTTCCTAATTTCTGTTCCTGAATTTCGTTTCTAGGACTGGGTTTCGGAAGTAATTTGAAGAATTTTCTCTTTGGAAAAACCTTACCGTAAATCTCAATTTTCTCGTTAATGGTGTCTCAAAAGGAAGGGGGGGGGGCAGAATTGGAGGCGGGAGGGAAGCAAGGGGGTGCTCAGCAGAGGGAGGTCTGTCAAACCACCAGTACTTGGGTGACGCCTTAGCGTTAACGCTACGCGATTTCCGCGGCCGGCGGGCCGTCGATAAATCAAATCGACAGCCCGCGCTGCTTCGAGATTTGGGCGGTCGGCGCGGTGCGCAGTGCCCAAGTACTGGTGGTTTAAGGTGAGTAGGTCAGAAGGACGATGCTGGGACGACATGGACCGGTGCTGGAGCCTTTTGCTCTGTAACCCATAACCTATTTTGTATTTGTTCCACAACTTCCACTAAACATTGTAAAACACTCCCACATAGATGAGTCAAACACAAATTTGATTTTTAAGAATGGAAAATAAAAACTCGTTGCTTCCCACCTTTTTTTTTTCATCAATCAAATCAAAGGCTAAGGAACGTAAAGGTAGTGTATTTAAAAAACAAAAAAAATACAAAAGGTGATGTATTGGCCTATGTATCCATGAATGATGGTTTGAATCCGTCCTCGGCCTCTTCGCACCGAATGTGCCACTGGCAAGATACATTTGTCAGTACCGTTACTACTATTCATAGTAAGGGGTATATCTTTTTTTTTTTTTTTTTTTTTTTTTAATAAACGGATATACGTTGCCACCTTGCATGGGAAGATGAAGTCACCATTGTTTCCAGATACACATCCAGGTCAGGCGGTAATTTCAGTCAGATGCATCCAGGAAAGTCGTAGTGCGAACATGCCCCCTAACAGATATGCAAAACCTGCAATGGATGTATGGCATCCACATACGACAAAAAATATGGTGATGTGTCTTTCCATGTTCTAGGAGGAGATTCATTCTCATTTTGCACATTTGGGGTCTTGCTCCAACCTTCTACTTTGGGGAATTTACCCAACATTTTTGCCAGCAATTGTTTTAAAGCCGCAGCGTGCATCCTGCCGCGACTCTAGGGATGTACCGGGGCGGGAGTACAGGGGCAGTGTTTCGTTGGATATCCATCCAGGCAAAATTGGCCTTGCATGCGACCAATTTTGCCGGGATGGATATCGAGTGAAATGACACCCCAGTACTTCCCGAGAGTCGTGGCAGTATCCTCGGCGCAACTCGGAAAAAATGGCTGGCAAACGTACTGAAGGGTTTAAACCACCAGTGCTTCCTAAAAATGTTAAGCCACAATTTTCAGGAAAACGTACGGGCCACTACAGGAACGCCCAAATTCATCCGACTAGAAAAGTTTCTACTCTACTTTTTTCTGCGGCCTATAGCTGGGCGCCAAGTACTGGTGGTTGAAACCACTAGTACACGTCCCCAGCCTTGCAGTCCGAAACTTATCGCCACAAGAAAACGAGCGAGGTCGAACCATCAAACTCTGGGCCTGCCGTTGGTAAATTGGATCGGCGCTCGCGTTTACGTTTTGCGCTTCCGGATTTTGAGGTGTCAGGCCCGCGGCCCAGGTGCCCATGTACTGGTGCTGTAAGAGGTGGACCCCACAGGGGAAAATCTCGGAAGAACTCTTCCGCCGGGTGTTCTCTCGGACCCCACAGCCTCTGGAAAAGTGTCTGGAAGTCCTTTTTTTTGTATTTCCCAGACCCCACTGCCCGGAAAAGAGGCACATGGAGAGCGAGTTTCCAAGTCCTTTTCCGGGCGGAAATTGGCCGATCCACGTCAGCCTCACCGAAATTTTGTGGCAAACGCATGGGGGGTAGGGGGGGGGCATCCCCCTACGTCTTCCAGACTTGGAAGATCGCGCAGGTCCATTTTGTGTCTGCACGGTGCAGCGCAGATGCCACGCAATGCCACCCATGACCCGTCAGCGGCCACCCCACAGGTCCACCACGGCCTACCCGGGCTTCGACGGCGGACAAAACAGCCAAACTGGTCCGAAAGTCTGGAAGAACTCTTCCAAAAGTCTGGAAAACAGGCACTTCGGTGGGGTCCCGTCTTTTCTTTTCCGAAACCTTCCAGGACTTCCGCGTCGCTTTACCACGGAAACTGCATTTTCCAGACTTTGGGCGGTGGGGTCCACCTCTAAGTAAGTATGGTGGACGTCCCTTTCTAAAAACTTGGGCTTATACCTTTCTCGGCCTTTTGGCTAAGATCAAGTGTAGTATCTGTTTTGATCAGTTTAATATCTGATCCGTGGTCCATCGGACCACATAATATTAAATTAATTTTTCTGGGCTACGGAGGGGTCATATGGGTAGGCTTGCCTGCTCGACCCTTCTAGCGTTGCCTCTGTAGTGCACTGCAGCAGAGTGTGGCGCAGCCCTCCAAAAAAAAAAGAAAAGGAAAAAAAAAACTTCGGCTCCACTGCAACCAATGAGTGGGGCTATTACAAAAATAGTGCCGCATGACAACTGAAACACCGTGCACATCTTTTCCAACCCGGACCGAATCACAGTTGGATGCATTGCTTCAAGGATTCGAACAGGGTTTCAGTAAGCCGGCGAGGTTGCTTTTTATTTTGTGATTTTGTTTTTGTTGTTTTTCTGTTACACTGTGTGTGCTTGCTGCAAGGATTCGAACCATGTACCGATGATGAGAGATAGGTAGTACCTGTTTTTTTGTGTCCTGTATGCCTGGACTTAGCGACTCGGCCTCCAGACGCTTCTAGAAGGCTGAGAGGACCAATCTACCTTTTCAGTGGGACTGCAGCCTATGTTAGTCTGTTTTCAGGTCAGGGTAAGAAGCCGGTAGTAGGAAGCAGAAGTACTGTCTATTCCGGTCCCTCTACCTCATAACAAGGAGAGCGGACCGTGCCGCATTTTCCGCAAGTAAGCTATATAATACGTAGGCTAGATTAGTTCGACCTCCTGGTTCCCGCAGTCGACTTCAACTGTGACGACGGTGGGATGTCGCTGCTTGTGGAACGTGGTTTGTGGCGGTTCTTGGGCGTGACGGTTTTGATAAGTGGAAACCAATGGTTACTCTGATTCGGGTCTACGTGTCACCTAGGTGACAATGTGTGTACTACCTTGTGTTTTGCTTTCACAACTTGTGTTTGCTTTACACTTCGTATGTTTGCACTACTTGTGAACAACTTCAATTCGTTTACCGCACACGTGAACTTGCCTGGGGAAGCATACCGGGTTGTAGTGAGCGTGCTTTAATCCGTTTGACTATTGACTATTGACTGACGTTAACACGTGGAGTAACGTGTGTTCAGTACGAAGTGACGCTGACGAAGATGTCAGGCTTGGAAAGGCGCGATGATAGAGGCAGCTACGACTGGAGACGCGATGAAGACCGAGGAAGTCAGGAAAGAAGACCACATAGACCGGTGACGTGCTTCAATTGCAACAAGCAAGGGCACTATGCGCGCAAGTCGTCCATCAACGTCGATCGACTCAAGGAGATCACGCTCCCCTCGAAGATATGAACCAAAAAGGTACTCGCCACCGCGGAAGGAGGCTGAGCTGCGGGAGAAGGTCGTGGAACTGTCGAAAGGGGTTGCCTCCATTAAAGAGCACTTTGACGTGGAAAGAGCGAAGAAAGAAGAAAAAGGTCGGAGGAAATGGGAGAAGGAACAGGAGAAGGAGGAAGCGAGACGAAGGGAGGAAGAGGAAGAAACACAACGAGCAGCAGAAGCCGCCAGACAGGAAGCTAAGAACAAGAAGAAAGACGAGAAGGAGAAGCAGGATGCGCTGCTTCGAGCCGAAATGAAGAAGGATGCCACGTTGCACGCGGCGATGATGATGAGCGAGATAAAAGACGACTGGCTACACCAATGGAAGACTTTGATGTTACCAATGCTAAAAGGCGGTATCAAGGAGGACAAAGAGAAAAAGAAGGTGGAGTTTCTTTCGGAGGAGGAAGAGGAATCCGAGTATGGCAGTGAGAAAAGCAAAACGAGTGTGATGCAAGAACTGAGCGAGAAGGCGGGAAAGTTGTGCATAACGGAGAAAAGGAAGAGAGAAGACGATGTAGTTTTGGATGACAGTCTGCCAATGGAATTACCAGCCAAGAGGACGCCACATTGGAATATCTTGAGGATGGGAGAACTGAGTACTAGGGTGACGAGGTCCAAATCGAAGACGAAGGGGGCATGCACGCCCATCACAACAAGGAGGAAGACACCAGTGAAGACCCCGTTAGCCAAGGTGGTGAAATCGAACAAGAAGAGATCCCCTCCGAGCGGAAGGTTGACACCCGCCAGCAAAGCACTGGCCAAGCTGAGGTATCGTGACGCCATCATTAAGGAGCTGAAGGAGTGCAATGCGGATGAACTACAACGAATCTGCCGAGAAGGCGGCCTGCATTAGGAGGGGAAGTTGGATGCGATCTTCGACATAGCTGAGCACAGAGCAAAGCAATATCATGGGTGTGAGGACAACGTTGACGTGGGAGTTATCCGGATCGCGGACTCAGCGGATGCGGGTGCGGAGGAATCCGCTGAAACAGAGGGATGAAGAAACGTAGCTCCTGAACTTTGGTGGGAAGTGTGCAGATATATTACGAGCGTTCGATGCTCCCAAGGCTGTACCAATCGGAATCTGGAAGTACTACTACGGCTAGTAGTGATACTGCTAGCTTTGAGTAAGCAAGTCCGTTGGCTTAACAGGTACGTGGATTCATGGCTACGATTGTATGACACGCACGGGATTGACTTTCTTAACCTAGAGAGGGTCGTGTATGTAGCTATTTCCCCTTACTGCAAGTCGTGCTATGTAGGGAAGACCACGCGGCCCTGTTCCGTCAGATGGCGCGAGCATCTGTATGTAGTGAGGAATAGGACGCAAGCACATTTTCATCGATGGATTGCAGCATTCGGGTGTGGGAACTATACGCTCATTCCTGTCGACATTTTTGAGGGTAATGATTTGGGGAAGTTAGAAGAGTTGTATATCAACAGGTGGCCTCCCTATCAGAATTCAGCTGGAGTTAAGGCAAGAAAGAAAGGTAAGAAAAGGAAATTGGGGAAGAGAGAGAGAAACCGGGTGAATGGAAAGGAGAACTCACACTCGGGGAGATCGATTAATCCGATGTGTCTCTTCTGCATAGACAACGAATCGGAGTTTTTAGATCTTTTTGCCTTTCTGGAAGATAGCCTTAAATTTGGGAGTCTGCCACGTATGATACGGTCGGGGGGTGGGAGCGACTGGACTCCAAAGTGGAAGGAGATTCGTGAGGTGTTTGGGGAAAGCAAAGTGAAACACCAGAATGCGGTTTTTGCGCTAAAGGATTGTAAGAGCCTGATTGAGAAAGGCGGACAATTCGAGGTTGTACATATCGTTAAGTGGAAGTCAAAGTGCACTTACCTGAAGAAGGTGTTAATTGGAATCTTCCGGAACCCCCAGAAGTTGAAAGACGTGTATCATTGGGGCATGAAAGCACTGTTACGGGTATATCAGGTTGTCAAAGACTTCTCCAAGAAATCGACAAGGAAGTATCTACGCAGACTGTTGTCTCGGTGTTTTCGGGAACGGTTTCAGCTAAGTTTGTCCGCAGATCTCACATTTAGGATTAAGTTTGATAGTCGGATTGTGATCTCCGAGGTAAGGAAAGCTGCTAAATTAAATGATTTTCTGATGAGTTGCCACTTACCGACATGTTTTGCTCTTCGCGCGCGTAGGAAAATTCGCATCGTAGGAACAAAAAATCCTACGATAGCTGATCTCTTGCATAACCATAGACGAGCCTCGACTAATGGTGTGCTTACCTGCAGTTGTGCGGGTATGGATTTCCCGCGTGTTGATGGACATGTTCGGTTTCGGCTAAGTGAGGTAGCTGGTTTGCACCCACTTCTGTCGAATGCAAATAACATTCCGAGAGCGGAAGGGGCCGACAGATTGCAACTCCTTCGCGAGGAGTTGATCGCAGGTTTCAGAGACAGGAAGAATATGGGAGGAACTATCCCGGATTGTGCTAAGGTTGATTTGTCTGCTTGCTTGTCCTCAGGGACTAGTCAGTCGTCGAGTGTGTTCGTGACCGAAGTCTTAGCTGAAGAAGAGACTAGGAGATCTCCTTGTGTCTCCAGTAGATAAGAACCCCGGAGAATCGGTTGTAATGTGCCCAGCTACCTATTTCAATGCCATGATGAGCACGTTTGTATGCAATCCGGGGTACCGTATTGTCAGCTACAGTGAAGCACAGGTGTTGAAGGAGGTACGGGAGGACGCACAGCTACGGGGGATTCAGAAAACAGTAAATTGGGATGCTAAGGGAACGTTCGGTGCTGCGTATGTGATTCCAAAGCAGAAGGATCTGGGTCGTTTCAGACCGATCTGTCCATCGTTCAAAGAACCGATGGTGAGAACTGCAAGAATGATGAGTAAAGCATTGAAACCGATGGTGAGAACTGCAAGAATGATGAGTAAAGCATTGAAACCGATGGTGAGAACTGCAAGAATGATGAGTAAAGCATTGAATTTCCTTCTGTACAATCTGCCAAAGAGTTGGCACTTCAACCTTCGAGCTGTCTCAGACTTGACAGCGCAAATTGAAAGAATCAACAGTAGACTGAGTAAACTGCCCGGGGAACGTGAGGTAAATTCCTACTCATTTGACATCAAGGAAATGTTTTGTAAGTTACCTCACGATGTCATCCTGCAAGCTGTTGACTGGATCATTGACCACCATATGTCAAAGGGACACGAGTCGGTGCGAGTGAACACCCGTGGGAAAGGAGCGGCATTTGGGGTTACGACAGGATCTGACCATTGGAAGAGGTTGAATTTGGAAGAAGTGAAGAGCTTCGTGCAGTTGGAGATTGAGCACACATATTTCTGCGGAACAGGGGTATTACTGAGACAGGTGGTAGGTGTGCCAATGGGCAAGAGTATGAGCCCGCCGATCGCCTGCATCATGTGCGCATACTCTGAGTACCAGTTAACATGCACCCTCGGACAAGCATGTCGTTTCTTCGGTGCACTGCGTTTGATTGATGATGTGCTGTTAATCATATCCAGTCGGGATGAGAGAACGAGGGCACTGATCTTCGAGGCGTTGTCTAACTGTCACCCGGAGGGACTGGTCCTGAAAAGGACGGATGACGGTTCAGGCACTTTGGAGTTTCTGGGTTGCCAGATTCGGACAAGGCAAACTTATCCGTATGTAGGCTGCATGCAGTTGTCACAGAATGACGATAGTATTTGGACCCAAGACAAGCTACTAATCCAGAATGATCAGTCTTTCCATTCCTGGGGAAGCAAGAAGCACAAAAGCGCCGTGATCGGCAGCCTTCTGCACCGTATTAACCAGAATACCTCCATCCGGTCAGAGATACCGGGGCGAGTGCTGGGACTGCAGCAGGAGTTGGTGAAGAAAGATTTTCCAGTGAAATTTGTGAACAGGGTATTTCACAGATTCGGYAGCAGACGTGATGGGCTATGGAGACGGACAATTGAGTTTGTTTGTGACAAACAGTAGGACTAAGTACGCAAACAAGGGAACAGTGAACTTAGACTGTGTGTGCTTGCCTCAAGGATTCGAACAGGGTTTCAGTAAGCCGGCAAGGTTGCTTTTTATTTTGTGATTTTGTTTTTGTTGTTTTTCTGTTAGACTGTGTGTGCTTGCTGCAAGGATTCGAACCATGTACCGATGATGAGAGATAGGTAGTACCTGTTTTTTTGTGTCCTGTATGCCTGGACTTAGCGACTCGGCCTCCAGACGCTTCTAGAAGGCTGAGAGGACCAATCTACCTTTTCAGTGGGACTGCAGCCTATGTTAGTCTGTTTTCAGGTCAGGGTAAGAAGCCGGTAGTAGGAAGCAGAAGTACTGTCTATTCCGGTCCCTCTACCTCATAACAAGGAGAGCGGACCGTGCCGCATTTTCCGCAAGTAAGCTATATAATACGTAGGCTAGATTAGTTCGACCTCCTGGTTCCCGCAGTCGACTTCAACTGTGACGACGGTGGGATGTCGCTGCTTGTGGAACGTGGTTTGTGGCGGTTCTTGGGCGTGACGGTTTTGATAAGTGGAAACCAATGGTTACTCTGATTCGGGTCTACGTGTCACCTAGGTGACAATGTGTGTACTACCTTGTGTTTTGCTTTCACACCTTGTGTTTGCTTTACACTTCTTATGTTTGCACTACTTGTGAACAACTTCAATTCAAGTACTCGTAGGTAAAAAAAAAAAAAAAAAAAAAAAAAAAAAACATACTCGTAGGCCGAAATGCAGTCTGTCATGACTGACTTGCGGTTCCTTCCCCTTAGGAAGGCATGAATACCCGCAGCAGTTCCCCAAGATACAGTTTGCAATTGCATTTAGGGCACCGTACCTGGCCAGAAAGCTGGGTTGTATACATTGCCCGAACTGCAATTTGAAACTGTATCTTGGCGGCAAGGGATGTTGGACCCCGTTTCCAACAGAAGTTGCTCCCCACCAATAGAATGGAGTCATCGAAAATCGCAGGCCCCAACTGTACAGGGTCTCTTACAGCCTGGGGCGGGGTCCCACTAGCAAAGAGGATTGGAGTGAACACCTGAATCTGGCCTTGTTTGTGGAAAGGTGCGGAAAGTCGAGATTGAACTGCTTTTCTGCATCTCTGCTTAAAACACGTCCAGATTCAGGATATTTATCCAATCCTCTTTGCTAGTGGGACCTCGGCCCTGCGCAGTAGTCGCCTGTTCCTGATGTTAACAACAAGAAAAAGAAAAAGAAGAAGAAGAAGGAAAAAAAAAAACTGTATCTTGGCCCATACTGCAATCATAACTCATTTTTTTGACTCCTGTGGAGTTTCCCCCTTTTTTTAATAGGAAAAGAAGAGCTGTGTTTCTTTCTTGGGCGGCCGATGCACTGCACATCATGATGTGATTTCAAGTGAAGCCGCAGTGGAGCCCCATTTACTTCGAGTAATGTCCTCTAAGTTACAACGCGTGGTGACTTGTGGAGCGAGGGCACAAACCTGAGCAAAGAAAAGAAGAGTTGTGCTCCACTGATTTACTTCGAGGAGTTTCCTCGAAGAGCATGGGGCTCCACTGCCAAATTTGACAAATTTTCCTCTTGGGATTTTTCTCCGTGTTCACTGAGAGTTCAGTTCTCCTGACTTCCTCGCGCTGGGCTGCAGATTTTACTTTGCTCAACTTGGGAGCGCTGATGCATGTTTAAAAAAAAAGAAAAAAAAAAAAAGAAAAAAAAGAAAAAGGGAGCGCTGAAGCACGGTCTCGTTGGCCAAGTACTTCCTCAAAAACGCTGCAACTCATCATACCAACAATCCTGGCCCGATTCGAAATGAAGAGCACAAATTTCCCCCCCAATGGGGTGGGGTTTTGGTAATATCCCCGAAAAGGCCTTTTTTTCTTTTTTCAATCCCCGAAAAGGCCGGTAGGTGGAGCCCCGCTTTTGTTTTTTTTTTCTTTTTTTTTAACGGAAAATGTCTTTATAAAATCCGGGAACCGGGCCCGGAGTCCCTTACAAAATTACGTGGGGCCCTCAGTGGGCAAGGCATCATCGGCCTAACACAGACAGGACAGCACTAGATTTAACCCCACAAAGTCTAAAACTCGTCACTAAAAAATCCTAATCCCCCTATCCTAAAATTCCAACAAAATCACAAATCCTAATTAGTAACCATAATTCCACCAAACATAAAAGAAAACGTACACAAAAGGCAATCAAAAGAACAGAGGAGAACCAAAAGTCAGCGCTGCTTGATGATGTCCACTTTTCATCCAAAGTTACTACCTACCCCCTGCTAATCTCCTCTGCCACCCGCGCGGCAGGGGTCGATGCCCTCAGGCCCCCAATCTGCAGGCACAGACCCCGCAAAACCCACCCACCTCCTCGCGATTCAAAGCAGATAGCACTTCCCCACTCTCCTCATTCGAAAACACCAACTTCCACCATGATGCTGTTTTCGCTAACCAAGGGATTACACCACCTCCCGCGCGGCAGGGGCCAAAAAGCCCCGCAAAACCCACCCACCTCCTCGCGATTTAGGGTAAGCCCCTCCCTCGATTCTGCATACACCCCCTACGGATGATTCACCGCCCTCCATGACGAAGCCCCGGCGGGATGATGCTCACCATGCAACCACAAAAATTTAGATGACAACAGGACACCAGCCTAGACGGATAAGATGAAGCCTAAACCCATTTCAACATCGCAGCGGTAATACCCTACCTCCCGCGCGGCAGGGGTCGAGGACCCCGCAAACCCACCCACCTCCTCGCGATTTAGGGAAAACCACAACCACTAATCTGCGCCATCTCACAAGGAAACACCACCGCCCACCATAATGGCGATTCTACAGAGCGGCACTCTCTAACTCATCTTATCGCATTCAAAAAACGCTTTACTAAAGTTGCAACAAATCACAGCAGCTATCACCCAACAAAAAACAAGAAAAACACCGGAAAACCATATTCGACCTCAGCCCTAATCTAATAAAACCACCGAGCCCTAAAACGGGCCACAACAGGTGAACGCTCCGAAGTCAAGAAGTCGATAAGCGCTCCTGGAGATCGTAAACAGAACTGTGCGTTGAACGTGGGAAGTCCCGCAGCAATCTCCATTACTCCTGTCACCATCACATTTGCGGGCTGACCCTGACAAGATGTCAGGGCAGGAGACCCCCGCAAAAACCTCCGTATCAGAGACCGAGGGGCATAGCCCCCGATCACTCTTATCAGGTGTAGCGCAGCATCCAGATCCCACCCGCCGATGGCCCCCACGTATCGACCTCTCCTTCCTCCACCGAGCTAGGATTCTTGACGAAGTCAAGTGAGACAAGTAATGACCAGGAGCATGTCACTGCTCCCTCGGCACGCCCCCCAAACACCCCCGTGTTCCTCCCTGTGCCGCCATGGTCACCCCTACACCAAGTTCTGGCAATCGAAGCAGACAGATTTCGTCGACCCCGTACACGATCCCCCAACGCCAGAATGCTGCTACTGGGGCGGCGCGTTACTGCGCTAACGCTGTGTGCTATGAAGTTTCGCTGGCGAAGGAGGCCACACGCACTCCAAAAATTAAGGAATTAAAAAAAAAAAAAAAAAAAAAAAAAAGTAAGGAATTTCTCCAAAGTGCTCCGGGGGGCAAGTCCCACATGCACCGTTGAACTAGCTCAACGCAACAGTGTGACATGGTTTTTGCGACTTAAAAACTCAAAAGAAAGGCAAAAAAGGAGAATCAAATGCTGCTGAATGCTTTTTTCCACCTATTTCCCAAAAAACAATGAATAACCAAATGCTACTGAAATCTTTGTCCGTATTTTCTCTAAAAAGTAAAATGGAAAATACAACAATCCTCAGCGAAAGGCTCCGCATACTACGCAACTTCGGAGACAGGGACTCACTACAACATGAAATGAACGTAGACAGTAGTCCTGGCTTGGTGAATTCACAGTGTCCTCCCACAGAAGGTCATGATGGCACAAGCACCCTTGAACCCATATGTAGTTCAACGGAAGATGGGCAGGGTAGGGGGCGTTGTATTCAAGCGGAGGGATTTTTCAGCACCTTTCTTGAACCAAAAACAAAAACAAAAGTTTTTGTAGTTTGTACATCTAAGAAAAAAAAAAAAAAAAAAAAAGAACAGCGGCTGGATGTGCAGCTCCCTATGCATCTCGGAAGTCACATGGGGTCACACACGTTGAGCTACCGTCTTCCCCCGAACACAACGCACTCTAAAAATGAATGCATACAAGCTATATTTCCGGCCAGATACAGCCAAAATAAGGGTGCGTTGTGTTCGGGGGAAGACGGTAGTTCAACGTTGAACTGGCTCAACGGTGTATGTGCCAGTGAGACATGGCCCCCGGCGGAGCACAACTGGAAGTACGCAAATTCACATTTGAAAAAAAACAAAAGTTCACATTATCTAGGAGACTACGAGAAACATTAAATGAAGTTGCAATCAAGAGTCTATCCCACCTCTACAACAATCTGGGCTTAGAAAAACCAAAAAAGGAGTCTATCCCAGAGACCACAGTGATATGCCAGGCAGCTGGCAGTGCCCCATTCCTTTGCCCGGGTAGGAGCCTAGTTGCACCACTCACAGTGTGCCAGCATTTTGAATGCATCTGGACATTGGCTCTGTCTAGATATGTTCAACATCTTGGCCTATGGCAAGCTGTGCAACTGGGGCCTAAGATTGGATGCCTCCTACTACATGTGCCATTGTGCCCTCTCCCCGCCGGTATTGGGCCTTGCTGCACTACTCACAAAATTAGCAAAATGAGAATGAATCTTTCCCTAGATCATGCGAAGATACGTCACCATATTTTTTGTCTTTTGTGCATGTGGTGAGTAGTGGAGCGAGGCCCATTCTCCAACACTTTTCAAAAGTTTTCAACTTTCCAGCCTTTCGTTTTTTGTTTCCTTTGGGTCACTACTGTCTTCACCCGGCGAATAGAACGCCCCGTCATTATAGCTGTATTTGGTGCAACTTTCAGTCCAGCTACGGCAATAATTATCGGCTGTTCTATTCGGGTGAAGACGGTAGGGTGGTGGGTGGACTGCACAGTAGAAAGGACATGGTGAAATAGAAGGGACTTGCAAAATCTCCGGACGC